GCTGCTTCCATTCTTAGCTGTTGAACAAGATAAAAACGTTAATATATAAACATTGATTGACTGTTGAATGCAATTTGTGTTTGTTTTGGTATATACGTTTGATAAGTTCTGTAATTGTCAGTAAGTAATACAAGAAATTCATGAAACATTCTCTAAACAATCATGTTGTCATTGCTTTCGCCGAACTAACTGGGTGAGCGCGATTTCCCGCGCTATGTTTTCCCGGCTTTGGCAAACGGCATCGGGGACCTCGCTTGCATTTTCCCGCGGGAACCTTTGTGAAAGTTCAGAGAGAGCTTTCCTGCAGTAAGCTCAATGCGTGTTTTTGGGATGTAGCTTTGATTTTATGACAGTAATCCAGTTAAAACCCTCCCTTCTTAAGAGTTCCCATTTTAATGCACTGAGATATGATAAAAAACTGAACACTAGCACCAAACGTAAAATTGCGTAAAATTTCCACCCTTAACTTGCAACAACACATCTCTCTCCCATACGCTTCCCTCCTTCCTTTCTTCCAATTTGGGGGAGGAATCTGGGGGAGGAATGGGGCTCGAATAAAGCTCACCTTCCAGTTATGAGCAGTGCTTAGCTGTTCTAATAAAGCATCCACAACCAATTTCTCCTTGCAGTTCATTTGCTTTATCAAAACGTACAGTGCCTTTGGAAAAAAAAAAAAAAAAAAAAAAAACAGTCAGTAATTAGAACAAAATCCTTATACTCTCTGATCGAAGAATCACACTTTAGCTTGAAACATCAACTGTTTACAAAATAAATCCTTTTGCCATCACGCAATGTTTGAGTAGTCTCACTAACTAACAGTTAACTTTTCCTCAGTGTTAACTGCCATTTAAAACGAATGTTGACTAATTTACCATCAACAAAGAATACCGTTTTAAGATGACCAGTTGTGACTTCTAGGTTTTCTATTGCCAGAAGTACATCTTGAGTTTTGTCTTCAAATATATTATTGCTTTATCGACACTATACAAACTCACCTCTCCCTTGTCACGAGGCGACAGCTCGGGAAGTCTGGTAATGAGGTACGTCTTTGAGACTGGCTCAACCACACACAGTCGCCCCAGACTTACTGCGGCATGAAATGCCAGTTCAGGGGACTGGGTCTTGATTGTAAATATGAGTAAACTGACCAACTGTTTAAACTCATGGGTGGTCTAAAAATTAAAAAAATCATATATGCTTAATTATAATTGCACTAATTTTCTTTGTAGATTATCTGAATCCTTAATTCTGCTTTTTTAATGTTTGTTGTGAGAATTTGGAAGTACATCAAGAAGCCCAGGAAAGGACTCACGTATATAAATCACGAAACATGAGGCCAAAATGTAGACTCCCCAAAAAATCCTATTGGGCAAAAACCAGACCCCTCAAAACTTCAACATCTTAGGACGTAGTACCACAAAATCTCAATTATTGAGCAAGCAAAGGAGTGCCAAAATGGTTAACCCCAACAAAAGTCACCAAAAATGTCTAAATCAAAAAAGTTCTCAGATCCCAATAAAGGTCTTTGCACCTGTCCCCATCACTATTCTTCGTGATCAACTACCCCGCCCACTGAGTCAAGAAGACATTTCCGTCATTTTCTAGTTGATAGATTTCTTCACTCTCATCACCTGTGCGGCTAATAATGTACTAATGTTGCAAAGAGAAATTCCTGGAAGATGAACTTACTTTATCTACAAAAGCTATGTCCCTTGCTTTGGTCATTGTTGATAACAGTTCCATTACAACAGCCTTGTTTCCTAGAAGTTAAAGGTAAATATTAAAATATTGTTTTATTTTTTTTCCAGTTTTTTTTGATAATCTTATCAAACTGTAACTTAATGCTGCAAAAGTCCCCTGGTCACTTTCAGTCAAAAACGTGAACAGGTTCCATAATCAGTGGGGTACACGACATTAGAAAGTTGGCCAGCATAGTGAACCATTAAATTTAAGACATTTCATTTAATTTCACAGCTGCCTAAATATATCTGCGATGATCAATCACGCCTTCATATCTTTGTCCACAGTTCAGATATACGATCTTTCATATATTCACGGGACTGTATCTTCACCATCTACGGGTATATTACAAACTCACAACGTGATCAGCCCCCAGTTGGCTTGATAGCTCAGTTGATAGAGCACTGCACTGGTATTGCAGGGGTCATGGGTTCAAATCCCGTTCAAGCCTAAATTTTTTTCAGGCTTTAATTTGACAGCTGCTTAAGTTGTGTATAATTAGCTGCGATGATCGATCATGTCTTCATATGTTTCTCTGCAGTTCAAATATATGAACTTTCATATATTCACTTGTAGAGGCAGTCAATACCCAAACTTTCTTATGGGTTCCTGGCATTTGCTGCGCGCTGAGCAACATGCATTCTCTAAACCCACCCATCACAGGGTAGATATGGCATTGGTATTTAAACAAATCCATTGTAAAACTCAAATCAGTCAGTATTTAAAGCCCATACTTCAAGCTATTTTTGTCAGTCATCATTACAATGCTAAATCTTCGGTTCATACTATAACATCTCCTCACCTTTTTTAATGTACTGTCTGATGACTCCCATTGCATTTGGATCCCATGTCCCTGTGCAATAAAAAAATATAAAAAAAAAATGATGTCACCATTCTGAAATTGGACCTACTTCGTAACAGCATAAGCTTGTTTTCTTACGCTTTGAAGACAACCCTTTTTCACATGCTGGCTCAGTTATGTGAAACAACATGCAAAGAGCCGATAAACTTCTTCACTTGTTCTCCTGGTTGGGCACAGGAAGTGCAATACTACAATTTGAAAAACACACTCAGGTGAACAAATAATTGAACGACCAGAAAAAGCTTACCTAACAAGATCAATGCTTTGCTTGCTTCATAGCACACCTTGGGGTCTCTTAGTAGTTTTATCTGAAAAAGGAGAAAACAGATTTTACTACCAATAATAAGCAAAATTGAATTTACTATATTTTGAGTTTTTGTAATGCACCGCATAATCGGTCATAATACAGCAGTTATACCGCACGTAAGCGACCACCCAAAATGTCAGGCCCAGGTGGTCGCTTCCGGGNTTGTAGTTTTATCTGAAAAAGGAGAAAAAAGATTTTACTACCAATAATACGAAAAATTGAATTTACTATACTTTGAGTTTTTGTAATGCACCGCATAATCGGTCATAATACAGCAGTTATACCGCACGTAAGCGACCACCCAAAATGTCAGGCCCAGGTGGTCGCTTCCGGGATATGGTCGCTTACGAGAGCTTAGACCATATTGGGTCAAAATGTTGCGTCATTACTATATGGTAATAAGCTGCAGAGACGTACCCCGTGTATAAAAGGTTTTATTCATGTGAAAAGTCAATTTCGAGAAAAAGTCTGGTACTTCCCATTGAGAAATTTCCGTCTCTTGTACTACCGAGGAATGCGATAATGTTACAACATCTTTTTATTCAATTTGTGCTCTATTATCTGTCAAAGGCCCATCGTTTAAGGGAGGTTAGAAACAAAAGAAAATTTCAAACTTTTAGCTCTAAAAGTGGTCGCGGTTGATTACGAAGGCTTACAAGAGGTTCTAAATATAGTGATTTGCCTTGGGAACTTTTGTTACGTTGGAAAACTGGTCGCTGAGGAGACGTGTTTGCTTACGAGAGGTGGTCGTAACCGGAGATTCGACTGTAATAATAATAAAAAAATAACAACAACAACAACAATGCCAAATCATCTAGCATGTCAGGGATTCCTACATGTGTCTATAACTAATAATACTATTACTATCCATAAAATAACTGAAAATCTACTAATTATTTAACAGTTAGTTGAATTGCTCTCTCTTTCTATGAGTTCTACAGTTGACTCAGCCTTTGGCCTCATCAATATACCAACTGAATCTGAGGATAAGTGGCACTCGGATGGGCCACTAGGACACAGCTGAGACTTTTCTTTTTAACTATCTAAAGATCAGCACATGACCATCAGGTGATGAAATGTACTCACCACTTCAGAAAGGGTATCCACCACACACTTTTCACGGCACTTCAATTGACCGATAGTCTGAACAAAGTAAGAATGGAAAAAGTTCAGTTGAAAATGCATGGATTCCCTGGCCATCTTCATGTTTAGTTTTTAGTAACGTTAAATCATCATCGTCGTCGTTGTCATCTTTGTCGTCGTCATGAGTCAAAACTGTAACCTCATAGTCGTCACTGCATCATCATCAATATCATCATCATCATCATCGTCGTCATCATCATCATCGTCATCGTCATCGTCATCGTCATCGTCATCGTCATCATCATCATCATCATCATCACTCCCTTCCCTCCTTGTGGAGAATGGGGCCTCTTCCTTCAAGCCACCCTGTCTCAGGACTCAACCTCTTCCTCTCTGTCTCCCTCCATGTCTTGTATCCAAGGTGTTCCCTTTCTCTATATACGGTCCTCCACAACATCTCTCTTCTGCATTTCCCCTCAGGTGCCCAGGTCATTGCAACCTCAAGATTTTTGTCCGATGATATTTTTAAAACGTTACCCCACCATTTCCACTGCCTAGTTCTTACGTCCAATTATAAAGTTTGCTAACACTATAGCTATGTCTATTATTACCAAAAATAGTGGTAGATCAACCATTTTACAGTGAAGTTCAATGATAGCCTAGTGTAATTTAATTTTTTACCTTTGCAGCTTCGGCAGCTATCTCTGAATTTGAAGATAACACACCTCCTTCACCCAACAGATTCTACAAATCCAAAAAAAATGACTGAATGATGTAAATCTTTTTGGATGGCAACAGAGTGACTTCAATCAATCCAACTTAAGTACCTGAATTCTGCTCCATTTTGGACCATCATGATCTAAAACTACAGACTGCTCTCTGTCCACGGGAGTAAACACTGTGGAGACATCAAAACTCGGGAATGACACACATCCAATAACAACACCTTATTAATTTTTTTCATTGCTAACCAAAGCGATTCAGCAACTTTTAGCTAACCATAGGTTGGCCCAGGGAGGGGGAACTCATATATAAAAAGGACTGGGGTGCTCGTCGGAAATTTTGAAAAGAACCCCTAAGAGGTATCAATATCCCATTTTGTGAGCGTGCCTTGAATTGTTTTTCACCCCTCAGAGGTACCAATCCTAAAACAACAGGTTATCTTCTGTCATATTTTTATTCAGCTCATTACCCTAAAAGGTACTGCAAAAGCTCCTGCTGTGGACCTCCTGAGGCTAAACACCCTAAGAGCTACCAAAACTGCTTTTTTAACCCATNTACAAATCCAAAAAAAAAAAAAAAATGACTGAATGATGCAAATCTTTTTGGATGGCAACAGAATGACTTCAATCAATCCAACTTAGGTACCTGAATTCTGCTCCATTTTGGACCATCATGATCTAAAACTACAGACTGCTCTCTGTCCAAGGGAGTAAACACTGTGGAGACATCAAAACTCGGGAATGACACACATCCAATAACAACACCTTACTAATTTTTTTCATTGCTAACCAAAGCGATTCAGCAACTTTTAGCTAACCATGGGTTGGCCCAGGGAGGGGGAACTCATATATAACAAGGACTGGGGTGCTCGTCAGAAATTTTGAAAAGAACCCCTAGGAGGTATCAATATCCCATTTTGTGAGCGTGCCTTGAATTGTTTTTCACCCCTCAGAGGCACCAATCCTAAAACAACATGTTATCTTCTGTCATATTTTTATTCAGCTCATTACCCTAAAAGGTACTGCAAAAGCTCCTGCTGTGGACCTCCTGAGGCTAAACACCCTAAGAGCTACCAAAACTGCTTTTTTAACCCATAAAAGGTACGACGAGCACTCCCCCATCCTTTTTATATGGGAGTCCCCCCTTCTGGAAGTTAGCTAATAGGCTTCATGGTTGATTGCCCAACTTATCCAATCGAGTTTCGTGTCCATCTTAAAGTGACTTTGACATCAATAAATCAACCCTAATAAGAACATCTTTAGCAACCATGGAGTGATGTTGACATGTTGCAAAATGGCAGTGACAGGAGAGACCTGATGACCAAAGCTTGCTTGGAACTACTTAAAATTTATTTTATTTGTCTACATTTTTTTTTCAACTTTGTTTTTTCTTTAATTTATCGAAAACTGACTGACCCGTTTATTTTGCACAAGCGAGAGGGCAATGGGATGGCCTTAGCAAATAAGGAAACTAAAGAAATTCACTGAGAGGCAATATTCTGGTATTGACAAGCCTCTTCCTATGAGATCAACATACTATTACGTAAAGTTGAACCTGGAGCGCTTGCTCCAGAGTCAAGCGCGCTAACCATGAGGTCACTGCACCTCCCATGAGATCAACATACACCAAGAACAGTTTTTGTTGAAAACTGACAACTGATGTAACAAAGTAATGTACTTATAACAATTATAAAGCCCTCTGCACGCATTGCAGGCCTATGATGAGGGACCATAAGGCTTTCTGCACGCACTGCAGACCTATGATGAGGGAGCATTGAAGGGGTGAGTGCAAAACCATGCTAAGTGACAATTTGGGTGAAAAAAAACAATTTTCGCGAAAGGGCTTGAATTCTTGCGTGTGGTCTTCAATGTAATAGAAAAACGTGCTCCTGTATTTTTGTCGCTGGTTTTTGCTTCGTTTATAAAGACGCCGCTAGGAAAACC